GGAAATGGAGAGGCTAGGACTATTTTTCATGATACATCTAAAGGTTTCAATAAATTTGGCATGCTAGTCTTTTTCATAAGTTTGCTTCAAATGGTGCATCTGCAAAAGATTTTGAGATTATCAAATCTTTTCTTTCTAACTGCTTTACTAAAGCCATCCTCGAAGGCTAACACTCTTCTTCATTTCCAGTAACATTTGAAGTATCTCAAGGTTCAGCACTTGGTTCTGTTTTGTTTTTTATCTACATCAAAAATCTTCCTGACAATATCTCATCTATTTGCTGACGACTAAACTTCGAACGACAAACCGATTTTGAAAATAATCTCACACCTGTAATAGATTGAATCTTGCAGAGGTTCGTAACTTTTAACATCGACATAGCTAAGTTATTTTCGGCAAACAACTATCGCTATACTGCCAACATTCCTATAATAAAGAATGGCGATCCTCTCACTGAGTCCCCTTAAAATCTTCATGGAGTATCGTTCAATACTGAGGTCTCATAGAAACCATATAAACAACCCATTGCAATGTTAGCATCTACTAAAGTTCCTTCTTTTCATCGTGCTTGCTTTTTTTTTACCGCTGATTTTACACTCTACCTCTTTAAAAGTTTTATTCAGCACTGTGTAGAATACTTTTTGTCACATTTGTTGTGAATGAATTGGTATAAAACAATAAAAACTTACAAAAGATGAATTTTCTTGGATGAAGGAAGTTGGAAACTTTGAAAAGAAATTGTTAGATATAATCTAATTATATTAATGTAGACTAATAGAGCTTGATGTGAGAGATCACTCGTTCCTAAAACTTTAGCCCTTCACTATTACTGCTGGTGACCTCTTCCGTTTGTTAGGATTAAATATTGGTTTGTAGTGTGCATGCAGTTGTGTTCTCAGCATTCAGCCCTATCAAATAACAAATGACACTACTCTCTTGTGATTTGGCTAAAATAGTTATTCACCATAATTATTTTGGCAATCACATTGATTCTTCTGGTAAGACAATTGGAAAAGCATTAGAGGTAGAAAACTTCCAAAAAACAGCTGAAGTATTATATCAAGCTTGAGAGAAAACTATAATTAACAGGTACCTTGTTCATTGCCAGGTATTATCAGATAGAAAACCGAGTCGACCGCCAACTTCTAATCCTGTTTGGGTACCAAAGCATTACCAGCGATCGCGATACTGCCTATATTAGTGAAATGCTAAGATAAGTTATGTTGCTTACCGCTTGAAACAAAATGACTGAAATTCATCCCACATCATTTCATCCCATTTACGGGCATCTATGAATACTGCAAGGTTGGTAAAGTAATGATTACAATGCTATGAATCTTTTACTTTTAAAAAACATATCAAACCTATCAAGGTTTTCATCATTGGTGTGTCGCTTTAACACAATAATAATTAAAAATCTTTAACTAAAAATTTTTTTAATAAATGTTGTTCTTTGTTAAATAAGAAAGATTAAAAATGAAATTTGTGACAGATGTAATAAATACGAGCCGAGCAAGGCTGTAAATAAAAGGCACAAGAGAGCACACAATAAACAAAAAATTGAAATCGAGAGCGAGGAGAACTTTGTGAATGTAAATATATAAGTATACTTTTTAGTTAAGTACAGAAAAATGTAAAATTAACTAAAAGTTAAAAACTTTTTTGCTTTTAAATTTTTGGAACTTTTTTGAGGGAAAAAGGGTTTCAACTTTGTAATAGGTAATGCGTATGTATGTAGAGAAAAAGGGTGAAGTTAAAGGTATACAGATGTATACACGAAGGGGCATATTACATCAGTGTTGTACTGAGTACGTACTTTATAGACGCCCTCTAATTTTTATTATATGGACGCCCTCTAAATTTTAATTTTAACTTATTTTACACTTAATAGACAATAGACGTAAGTACACTTGATTACACCTAATAGATTTGTTACACATTGTTGACGTCATTAGACCCAATAGACGCCCTATAAATAATGTATTGATTTTAAGGTATTTTAACTTAAGTAGTTAAAAGTTTTTAAATTTTTTTATTACTAATTCTCATAGATAATATAAAAATTGCAGTGTTGATGGAGTAAAAAATATAAAAAAAACTTCAAATTTATTTATAAACTTAAATTTAGTTTAAAAAAAAATATAGACTAATCAAGATCATACCAACATTATCAGCCCGTACTGGAACATACGGTTTAATTTCTGGAGCAGAAGTTGAACGTGGCTTGATTGGTTTAATGTAACCGCTAGAATTTTTTTTAGTTAAAGATCTAGTTGGAAAAGGTGGTAGGGTTAAAGAATTTTTTTTTCTCTCTAAAAGTAAAAAATTAATAGTTAAGTTAACAATATATTTAGTGGTTTTAAATATTTAGCAGTGAAATAATAATTATAAACTTCTTTTTTTCCGTAATTCAACTCTTTTGCACTAAATCGGGTTGTTAACAACCTTTAGTAATAAATCAACTAATAAAGTCTTTAAAAATCAAACCAATTAATCAAAACTGCTTGCATGTTTTAAATAAAAACTTATTATTTGGCTTGTAAATTAGCTAGGATGACCAAATTTTTGCTTCGGGGATAGTCAAAAAAGTTTGTGCACTCATAAGCAGTTGTATACTTAAATGAATGGGGGTGCGAGATAGGGTTAAATATAAAAGTACGTTCACTCAACCAAAAGAAAAAATCCCTAAATAATGTATAAAAAGGGTATATCATAAGACATATCAACTACTTTTTGACATTTTTATTTTTGGTGCCTCAAGAATACCTAACAGTATTGTCACAGAGCTTAGCGGAAAAGAATTTAACTAGAAAGAACAAATGCGAGTTTCTCTTAAAACTCGCATTTGTGTCCGCAATTAATAATATATGATTTTTTTTTTAAAGATTTATGATGTGTAAATATTTATTTTTTTAAAATTTATAGTTTTATGGAGTAATGCCCTTTTTTATTACTCTTCTAATTAAATTATAATATGTTGATTTTTACTGTTTACAAATAACAAATTTAGGTGCAAAAGAGTTAAACAAAATACATAATGATACTTACAATGATTT